TCGCTCCATGGTTCTCACACACACACACACAGCTGAGATTTCTCTGTGGTCTTACTGCCGCAGAGCAGACACTGACGAGAGGAAAAGGTTAAGGATGTGCACTTGAATTCTGCTTTTAACCTTCGACTCCACTTCGATGGAGCCAAAAGGTAAGTATTACAGGAGAAACTGAAGAGGATAAAAGGAGACCAGAGAGAGATCAGAGAGAGAGAGACCAGAGAAAGACCAGAGAGAGACCAGAGAAAGACCAGAGAGATCAGAAAGAGAGAGACCAGAGAAAGACCAGAGAGAGATCAGAGAGAGAGAGACCAGAGAGAGACCAGAGAGAGACCAGAGAAAGAGGACAGACCTGTTTTAGTCGTGGTTCGATGGCGTTGTATGTGACTCAGTGGTGTTCATAAATGTTTAACTGTAAGTAACAGACTCGATCATGCAGGAACAGAAACAGGTTCATTGACTTCCGCCATAAAAGTGCAGAGAATGGTCATTTCATTACATTTATAGCCTTTTTCTCACATCTGCGGTCACTCAGTCCAAAACACTTCAGGATCAGATTACAAGCCTTAAGTAAGAGCTGTTCGGACGAATGAACTGGGAATGACAGGAGAGGTTTATCAGTCTCACTGCAAATAATGGGGTAATCTGGGAAAAAGATACATGGATTATGGGAAAGAAAACTGTACTTCTCATCTCTGTGAGCCACTACTATAACTACTAGTGCTACTACTACTAGTGCTACTGTTACTACTACTGATACTGCTACTACTACTACTACCACTGCTACTAATACTGCTACTGCTGCTACTACTGCTACTGCTGCTGCTGCACAATCAAGTAGAGTAGATAAGATTGTCCAGAGAAGAGAGGGAGCAGAGTGAGAGACCAGAAACAGAGTACAGTGGAGTAGAGTAAGGCAGAGTAGAACAGAGGACAGTAGAGTAGAGTAGAGCAGAGTAGACCAGAGGACAGTAGAGTAGAGTAGAATAGAGCAGACCAGAGTAGAGTAAAGTGCAGTAGAATAGAATGGACTAGAGTAGAGTAGAGCAGAGTAGAATAGAGTGGACCAGAGTACAGCAGAGTAGAGTAGCATTGTCCATCTGTATACATTCTAAAGCCTGACAAAGCCACTCAAACCCGCCAGAATTAACAGCATTGAAACTTTGCACATGTTTCGCTTCAAACCACAGAAAAGCAGAGAATCTCTCGGTGTAACAGAGTCAGAATATCTGCAGCGGAGTCGGCGGTGTCTGTGTGGGATGAAGTCATTGTCCTCTTCTCTCTGGCCTTATACATATGCATCCACAGCTGTTCACAAAGCTCTCTCTCCGTGAGTTTATGAGGCGGCTGTGTCACCTCTGTCTGCTTAAAGCACTGGGACGCACTTAAAACACTGCTCACGTGTGCATGTCCACAGATGGGGCTCAGTGTGAGATAAATATACATAAATAAACACACACAGACACTTATGAACCTGTCACCAGCACTGCTTTCACTGACAACCAAGTTTAGCGGGAATATCTGGGTTTTTAGACGTTTAGACACAAACAGAATCCGTATTGACCATACCCAGGCCTAACACAGACTGTATACATAGGGACAGTGCAAACTCGCTAGAAAAATGAAGCCCAGTAGGGAAGTGCTCATAGTGAAGTTTGGCTCCTCTCTCTGGCTCCTATTGACTTACATGTTGACGAAAACTACTCTAGCTCAGTAAAGTTTGTGTCACACTCACCGTTTTGGCCTCTAAACTCTAGTCTCTCTCTCTGGTCACTCTCTGCTCCCCCTTCAACTACCCTCTCTAAGGGATGATACCAAAATAAAGTAGCAGTGCCTAGTTTAAGATAAGATAAGATTGCTTTATTTATCTCACAGAGGAGAAATTTAAATGTCACATTTGGCATGGATAGAGACACTCAGATTGTGCAAAGGGAGGAAATGTGCAAACATGTTACATGCAGGATATATGTACAATAAAGTGACAATAATTATGTACAACAAAAGTGACAAGTGTCAATTTGTTTTTCGTTGCTTGATGTCTTGACAAGAGCGCGTTGGAGCCATAGATTGTATTAACGGACGTAGTCACACCTATCTCCGCCGTTCTAACTAATGGGCCAAAAATTGGGCTAATTCAAAATGGCCGCGGGGGCTGGAAAATGTGAAAAAACGCATCTGCGCATGCGTCAGCCGGCACAAGCCCCATTCATTTAAACGAGTTACTTAAAAAATTCACAGCGAGAAAACTAGACTGGTCCAAAAAATTCACCCCCTCAGCATTGACACACATGTGGAACAGAGCTTTGGGCCAAGAGCC